GGAGGGAGGGAGGGAGGGATGGATGTAGGGAGGAAGAAAGAGAGAGCCAAACGGGAGGGATGAAGGGGGTGGGGGTGGTTGGGGGGATACATTAACTCTTATCTCACTGTATTTGGCATTCTGCATCCCAGGATGCGCTCTTTCTCTCTCTCTCTCTCTCACACACACTCCTGCTTTCTTTTCTACTCTCCCTTCCTTCTGTTTTTGCCTCTACGCCTCTCGGAATATCTCGCATTCAGTGCGCAGGGATGGGTGTTTGTGCCTCGGTGTGTGTAGGCTGGTGTGTGGTTTGTACTGTATACCTTAATATCTTTTGTGGTGTGTATTTTGTTTACTTGAACAAGTGAGCTCCTCAGATGCTGAAAGGCACTATGCAAGGTTCCAACGTTCATCTTTATTTGTCTCCAAGCCTTTTTTATTTATCCATCTCTTCACATTCAATTTACTGTATGAGAGTGGCAGCGTTGGCCTGTTTACTAAAATAAGTTTTCAACTTGATATAGCTTGTAGGTGTGTGGTGTTTTTTCTTTCAGATTAAAAGGCAAAACTATCATTCTGACTCCTTTTTGTTTTGCTCTGATCCTTGATCTTTGCAGGAGTGATCCCAAGGCTCCAGGTTTCCATGACTGGACTCAAGGGGGTCGCCACTAAAGTTAGGATTAGCTTAATTTGAGTATAATTTCATAGACTAGAACTAATCATCAGGTTTGATCTTCTCATTATTTAGACAACAACAGATAACAAAATCTTTCTGAATCAAAGATGTCTGTGGTGTCAGGTGTCATGCTCTGATTGCCCGTGTGATAGCTTAGCCACATGTGGCTGCGTGGCCTAGATAATATTTTGGTGGAGATATGGCCGTGCCTACTGTGTGTGCACTTGTGCTTTTGCGTCTCAGGCAGTGATCGGTGTGTAACTGGAGACGGAGAGCCCCGTAGCCATTCGTCTCCCGTTGAGCAGCAACGACACTCTGCTATTCATCCCCATTTAGCGAGACAGAGAGCTGGCCTACAGGGCTGTGTGAAGTGCAA